AGATAGATAGATAGATAGATAGATAGATAGATAGATAGATAGATAGATAGATAGATAGATAGATAGATAGATAGATAGATAGATAGATAGATAGATAGATAGATAGATAGATAGATAGATCTGCAGAATGGTGGTGTGGCATCTAGGCTAATCCTTGTAACAGTTAACTGTTTGCTTTCCAGGAAATCCATCCTCTAAACCCATCCTCTCTCTCTCTTTCTCTCTCTCTCTCTCACACACACACACACACACACCAGCTGTAGATATATTGCCATGTGGGTCCCTTCCTCTCCATTTTACTTGCTTTCTAATTAGCCCACTTCCCCACAGTAATAGTGCTGCAGTCAGCCCTTGAGGGGCACAGCTTGTCCAGGTCTGAATTTTTAATGCCGCTGATGAAATGACAAAGAAAGACAGACAAAACTTTTCCACCACATGAAACAGCTCACTTTCCTCGTTTCCTTGGCAAGGAGACTTTCTAGCCCTCTTCACAGTCGGTTCTTCTTCAGTGGGGGTTTTCTGTATATAAATGGAAGGCGGTTGAAGTGCGTCTCACTACAGGAAGCTAATTAAGTTACTGTTTCTCGCTAATTTCCCAGAAGCCCCATGAAATCGTCTCGCTCTCTTGGCTGCCCTGTCAAACAAAATAAAAAGGTTTTCTCCTCCCTTTCTGTTTTTCTTTTTCAGTATTCCCAAATGAGGGATGAAGTATTCAAGTCGAATTTGGTGTGTGCGTTCATGGTCCTTCTGTTTATCACCGCAGTCCAAAGTTTGCTTCCTTCTTCAAGGTAAATGCAAAGGCTTCGATAATGCAGAGTCCCATTTGAACGGCTTGAGTTTACAATTTAAGATACGATATAAGAGAAACAGTCAGAAAGGCTAATAAAATTCAGATTAACATGGGAAGAATATGTGCCTCCCCCCCCGACACGTACTCAGATTTGGTTACAGTACATCAAGGAGGGGAGAGCTGATGGCTTGCAGATATCTGGAGCTAATTGCCATCAACTCATCTCCATGTGGACGAGGGTCAGAGATGATGGGAAACCTCTGGAGATTATGGGAAACAACTCGAGAACATCCTGGCAGTATGCCATGAGAGTATATTGAAAAAAGTCTTTGTGCCTGTTTTTATTTTTCTAAAACACAAACAGTGTTTCAGTGCATTTGAAGACTAACTAATCACCCTGAAAGCAAAGGAAAAGTGCAAAGATTTTTCTATATACCATCCTATGTCAGGGAAGCAGAGTTTGTTCCAATAGCTTTAAAAAAAAGATGGGGTTTAAGGAGTGGTTTCAAGGAAGTATTTAAAAGTACCATTGCTTCTGTGAAAATATGCATGTATTAATCTGACTTGGAGCAAGTTCACAAGCAGGCTATAAAATCTTTGCATGCATGACTGTGAAGTTTAACGTATACTTTGCAGGAATACGTATTCAACTGGGGGAAAGCTGGCAGTGGCAAATGACTATAGGCTACCTTCATAAGGCCATCAAAAAGTGACCCTCAGCCTCAGAGCAACTTTGCAGCTCTATCTATCTGTCTGTTTCTCTCTGTTTGCGTGTATGTGTGTGCATAGTTACATGGGTTCACTGTAATTCCCTCATGCATTGATCATCCGTCTACACTCTCATGTTTTATGAATCTGGGTGGCAAAAATGTTGCAGGTGGGTGTCCTTAAGCATCATTTTATTGTGGCAAAAGGCCACTCTTGATCTTTGATGATCATAGAACTTGTGAATAGTTCAATGCTTTAGGTCTCTGGTTGTGCAACTAGAAGTTAGGAGTTTGATTCCCTTTCATATCCTTTAGTTTCTGCAAAATCATGCATTTGGCACATAGGTTTCAGACTAGATGGGAACATTAGTGTTTAGCAGTCACTTAACCTTCATGGCCCTAAACCAGAATTTGGAAGTGACTAATTAAAAATAAGTTGTGACTTGCAATTAGTTCCTTTTCCCAGTCATGGAGGTATAATCATTGCATGGCCCTAAACCAGAATTTGGAAGTGACTAATTAAAAATAAGTTGTGACTTGCAATTAGTTCCTTTCCCCAATCATGGAGGTATAATCATTGTATTATTTTATTTATTTTATTTTAT